CAATAAAAGAGTAGGAAAAGCAGTACTGTGATACAATCTCCAAAATGACAGAATGATCTCAGTTCAAATCCAAGGCAAACCATTCAACATCACAATAGTCCAAGTCTATGCCCCAACCACTGGTGCTGAAGAGGCTGAAGTTGACTGGTTTTATGAAGGCCTACAACACCTTCTAGGATTAACACCAAAAATGATGTCCTTATCATCATGGGGGATTGGAATGCTAAAGTAGGAAGCCAAAAGATAACTGGAGTAACAGGCAAGTTTGGCCTTGAAGTACAAAATGAAGCAGGGCACAGGCTGGTAGAATTTTGTCAAGAGAATACGATGGTCATAGCAAACACTCTTTTCCAACAACCCAAGAGACAACTTTACACAGGGACATCACCAGATGGTCAACACAGAAATCAGATTGACTATGTGCTCTGCAGCCAAAGATGGAGAAGCTCTATACCATGGCTCCTCAAACTACGGCCCATGGGACGGATCTGGCCTGCCATGGCCATCCATCTGGCCTGCACCGCTGTTTGCTGCCTGCACGGGCTTGCTGTACGGGTGGGGAGGTGGTGGCTTGCTCACTCGGATATGGTCTCCGAGTGAGCAAGCCGCCACCACTGCCTACCTCCCATATGTGTATGCTCACTGCTGCCTCTCAGCGGGGGCGGGGAGGTGGTTTGCTCGCTCAGAGATGGTTTTGGACTCACTGGGAGATCTCTGAGTGAGTGAGCCACCACCCCACACACCTGATGCCACCTTGTGCTTGCCCAACGGCACTTCGTTGGCCCGCACCCCCAGGCACCCCCATCTCACTGGCCTGTGATTGTCACTGATGCTTTTCAACTGGCCCCCTATTGAAAAAGTTTGAGGACCACTGCTCTATACAGTCAGTGAAAACAAGACCAGGAGCTGACTGGCTCAGATCATGAGCTTCTTGTTGCAGAATTTAGGCTTAAATTGAAGAAAGTAGGGAAAAGCATTAGGCCACTCAGGTATGACCTGAATCATTTCCCTGATGAATATACAGTAGAGGTGCCAAATAGATTTAAGGAATTAGATCTGATAGAGTGCCTGAAGAACTATGGACAGAGGTTTGCAACATTGTACAAGAGGCAGCAACTAAAACCATCCCAAAAAAAAAGAAATGCAAGAAAGCAAAATGGTTGTCTGAGGAAGCTTTACGGATAGCTGAGGAAAGAAGGGAAGCGAAAGGCAAGGGAGAAAGAGAAAGATACAAACAATTGAATGCAGAATTCCAGAGAATAGCTAGAAGAGACAAGAATGCCTTCTTAAATGAACAGTGCAAAGAAATAGAAGAAAACAATAGAATAGGGAGGACCAGAGATCTCTTCAAGAAAATTGGAGATATGAAGGGAATGTTTCATGCAAAGATGGGCATGATAAAGGACCAAAATGGCAGGGACCTAACAGAGGCAGAAGAGATTAAGAAGAGGTGGCAAGATTACACAGAAGAACTATACAAGAAAGAGCTTAACGTCCCTGA